ACACCTTCGTTGGGAGATATTACTTCTTCGTATCAGGTATAATTCTCTCCTACTCCCTTTTGTTCAGATCTGGTTCAGTTTAAGGTTCAAGAATGATCCTTGAAAATATGATTTTCTAAATAGGGAATGTGATTCCCAGTTGAAGGGAGAGAAAAATTTTTGAAATTCGCCCCTTATTCCGCAATCTTTGGGCGTCCACGGGATGGATCTCTCATCCCCTTCATCCCACGCACAGATTGCTTGATAATATCCTAGGCCGACTCAACCAGCTCGACCAAGACCAAAAACCGGTTCATCTTCCAAGGCCTTAGCAGAATCGGGCCTCCTTTGATTAAATATGAAATTTGGGCCCATTGTAATAGATGACATGACTTTGTCCCTAAAGGCCTCTGCATAAGTCTTATTGCCCCTCACACGAACTCCAATTACCGACGCTATTGAGCTGTTAACCTTTGTAATCAGGGGCCTTCTAGCTAGCCTTCTTGGAGACTCTTGAAAAACCACTAACGTCTGGTCTCTAGTAAATGGCAATTGGCTATCTCTCTCCTCTCCACGTGTAACCCATCAATCGAGGAATCCATCGCCTTCTTCCTTGGAGCAACTTCTCCATTGTGATGATTCAACTCCCAGAAGAACCCACACCTTAAGCCAGACATGATCGACAAGAATTTTTATGCACCTGGGATCTTCTTCACGTTCAAGCCCTTCAATTCTAACTCTCACAGCATGAAGGTCACAAAGACTGAAAGCAACCAAAGCTCCACCCAGGGATTGGATTAATTTTTCCAAGACTTCAACCTTCCAGTAATTGAATGGAAGCCCAACTAACTGAAGCTCCAGAAAACTTTCAGAAATAATTTTTTGATTGCACGACACATGCCACCTCTCCACCCTAAAACTGCCGACTGGAGAATCTACAAACTCAGTACTTGGAGTCATGATCTCTTCACCAATGCCAAATAGCACAGCCTTTGAATCGTCAAAAGGTTTAAACATCACAGTTTCTTTTAAGTTGAATTTCTCCATGACCCACTCCCATGAAACTTCCCCAATCTGTAACTTCTTTGGCTGATATCAGAATCACAATCTTCTTCCGATCTCCTTTCTCAACATCTAAGAACAATTTTTTACTTCACAGGGTGTGTCATTTCCCGCTTGCCCACAAAGGCAGGGAATGTCCTAGCACAGTCTTAACCATGCATGATTGTATGGCGAGCTTCCTCTATAAATAGAGGATTTAAACTCTTGCTTAGGACTTTCTAACACTCCATATCTCTTGATGCCCTGTTCAATCCTTGGCTCTACACTCAAAGCTTCATCTCTTTCTCCAGGACTGGTATCCCTCAATTCCTTCCAACCCCAACCTTCAGAGCTCCTACACTAACCTTATCCTGTCAGCTTACACAGGAAACGGTTACTTATGGGCATTTCAAACCTAACAAACTTGCCCAAGCTTGACCAAGCCCACCCAAGCTCAAACCAGCCCAAGTTTGTTAAATTTAGCTAGAGTTAGGTTTGGGTTGGCTAACTCAGGATTTGACTTCAGGTTGGGCTAAGTCCAAGCTCAAGGTCCAGGTCTTAGGATTCAACCTATGTTAGCACTAAACCTGGCCAACCTGTCCAAGGTTTTTTGATATCTTCTGAAGGGCTACACAACAGGGGGTAGCCCATCCCCCAACCCATAGGCCCCCAAACCTAGGTGCAGGCGAGATTTGACCCCAAGTCTCTGCTATGACCAGCAGGAGACCTTACCAACCAGCTGGTTGGCACCTTGCGCCAACCTGCCCAAGTTTTTCTTTTATGAAGAATCAAGAAAAAATTTCATTAAAAGGAAAAAGAGGCTCGTTTTGTGGGGTGCACTTCAACTGCACTTGTTTCTCTCACCCAACTTGTTGCTATATCTTGGTGAATTAACTTTGAATTTGATGTTGAATAGGTTATTTACCATATTGTAGGTTATACTTAAGACATTTAGTGCTTAAACAGTTTAGCCTATGTAGGACTTAAATGTATAAGGTTATAACCTTGAAAACGTGATACTCTAACCAATTGAGCTAGTAGGCTTTTTGAAGTATTTTCTTTACTCAAGAATTTAAGTTTGCATATTCTTGTACATTAAAGGTTTGCTTTTCAAAAGTGGCCACTCACTTTGTTCAATTGTGTGCCCCACCTTGAATACAAAGCATTACTAGTGCTACTATAAAATTTTAAACACAAAAAGCTCCATAGAAATTCAATTTTAAAAGAGCCATAGCGAATTGCTTCACCTCTTATGACATCAGTGATGCTAGAGCATTGTTAAAGTTGGGCAACATGAATTCTTTTACTAAAATGAATATAGATGAAACAATAGTTGATAGTAATCTGCACATAAAATTTACCTTCAAAAGGGCCATAGAAAATGCTTCGCTCATTATAGCTTGGATGAAAAGAGACTAATGCAGGAACCTTGTCAAAATCATAAGTTACCATAGCTTCTTCTGAGAAACCTTTTGCCACAGAAAACCAAGCTTTCTTCTTATACTTGATGGCAAATTCAGATATTATGGATTCATTCAAGCCAAAGCCAATATATATAGGAAAATGTGTTCCAGCTGTTTCAACAAAGTTACGAATGGCAACATCTGACTCAAGAAGAGAGACATCAGGAGCAACAAACTTCTTTAGGAATCGAACAAGCAAATCGGCTTTTCTTGGGCCAGTGTATTCTAGAGGGGTACCATGCATAAAGAGCTTCAATGTAGGAAATCCACTGCAGCACAGAAGTTCCTTGGTATTGAGTGTAATGTTAGACTACTTGGAAGTATTATAGGTACTGATTTGAAAATGCAATAACAAATATCATAGGTGAGCATATTTACTGCTAAGACATCAAAAACATTAAATATATACTCTAAAAGCAACAACCTACCACTCTAGACAGTGAAAATCTAGGGCCTAAATATCTGGTAATGAACAGTTTTTTATCAATAACCATAAATAATAATTTATCTTCAAAAATGCACAGAAAAAGATAAAGTAAAAGAAGTATACTCAATTTCATATTTTGAAGCAAGGCGTCTAAACTTGTCAGCATTTATTTTTGCTATCACAATGGGCTGGTCCAATCCAGCAAGTACAGGTGCAGCTGCATCCAACTGCAATGCCACAGTTAAACTTGTCATACCTATAGCATCAGAATTCATAATATGGTTACAAGGAAAAAGAACTGCACATGCCAATTAAGAAAAGGAAATGGATGGAAGAGATTCTACAAATATCTGAACAGGAAGGAGCAAAGTAGCATTCAACAATACCATTTACAGAGGAACACAAAGAGAGCTTTACCTGGGCTAGAACTTAAAATGCCCCAGTGGGCAGAAAAAAGACAATCTCACAATTAAGAAATTTTCCCTCAGGAAACCAATTAAAAAAAAAATCTCCCAATAGGTTATGTCCTAGTAAGAAACCATGCCCGCTGAAAACTGCATACAGTAGGCATAAATATGTTTTATATTCTCTAAAATGATGAATTTGATCTCTATTTGGAGTTAACAGGAAGGTATTATTGTAGAGAAAGAGGAACTTCATAAATGGGAGAACCATATGTGTGTATTCTGTTTTACTATAGCATACTTTGATTTCTTTATATCCGTATTTCTGTTTCCTTTGTACATGTTATTCAGTCCCTATGAGGGACTTACATGTAATTGTAAATATGGCTGATACTAAGAATAATTGATTCCTTGGGGTGGGGGTCAACAGTGGGAGGCATCTCATATGTACTGCTTGAATACCTCTTCTGTCTATCAACTTTAAGTTAATCAATTGAACCTAGGGTAGATCTATCTGCCTAGGTTTACAATTATACCCTATCAACCCACACACTGAACCCAAACCCCTTTCCCATGAAAAAGAGCACCATTTGTTTTTATTATTTGAATAATAAAATGTCAGTGCAGAGCACAAGCTCCTTCATGGGTTCAAGAAAAGTTGGAGGAAATTTGTTGGAGAATTATTCAAGAAGCATCAAACTAAAGAAATTCGCAAAGGAACAAATATGATAATTTCATCATCATCCAAGATCCCAACAATTCAGGGTCAACTCTAAGAATCCTAATCTACAATTTCATTAAGCCAAACCACAAAAATGGTGAACTTCCATTTCAGTGAGATATTAGCCAAATCAAAGCACTTTTGCGAGTTTTTGCAGAAAGCAACTAAGCACAGAAACTGATAATGTAAAGTAAGATTCAGTTAGGAAACAGGCAAATGAAATCATCTAACCAGGGTCTCAGAGAAGAATACCAAAGGTCCAATTGTCTACAAAACATCTATTTATGAATGTTTCAGAAAAATAGAAACGACCCAATAAACAACATACTGAGAGCATGTAGGTGCTTCCTTTTGTAGATGACTAACAATCTTATAAAAAGGTAAGGAAATAAAAAGATAAGTGAAGTGCAATCATCTCAACTGCCATGTGGGATGGAAAGATTCAAAAATCTTGAAGGAGGCTAGGCATAAGTAATAAAACAATAATCCAAAACAAACCAACAAGCTCCTACCCTTACGCCACTAAAATACAATCCTTCTAACCTACCTCTGGCAAGACTATATGATAGAGGATTGGCAAATATGGGGACTCATGTGAACAAGATTGACATTTTGGTGGACAAATTTCCAGCAGATCCAGGGCACCATGAAAGAAAAGCTAACTATGCTTGTCTTTTCCTTTGGCTTACTGCCCTGTAAGTTTAATAAGGGAATATGTATAATTCCCATTAACTAAGATGATTTCTACCGCCCCTAAGATCCCAATCATTTTTATCTATTACTATTTTGGATAGGTAACTACTCATATATTATATTTCATTAATTTAACATTAAGAACACAAAACTTGTTCCTGGTGAAATCAAATCCTTAGTTCCTTACCCCTGCCTTCATACTTAGATATCTTTTATTCCATTATATTTAAAATGTCTATGGAGCCTTACTTAATCAAAAAAAAAAGGAGAAGAAAATAAAAATAGAAAAGAAAAAATGTTGATGGAGCCTTGTATTCTCCAAAAGAACCCCAATGTTGATGCCAAATTACGGTCTCTGCTTTCAGCTACTCCCCTTATGCTGAACCTAATTGGAAAGATTGTGGAATCTTTTAGACAGAAGGCATGTCACCTTTTCGTTCCCTTGCCCAAATTCTTCTTACATGTACCTACTCTGCCGCTTGACCATCTCCAACTTAACTTGGTTTACTTCATTCTTGAACAAAATTGAGTACTAAACCAGAAAAGGCTCCATCTTTTTTCCATGGGTTCTTCATGGAGGCGAGGCATCTACTTCCTCCCGCTTGATGTAATATAATAAAAACATGGTGCACCTATCCCTAAAGACTAAAAGTAAATCATGGCTTTTTCAAGATCTACCAAAACAGTTACCATTACATGTCACACTTAATGGTCTAAAGCACAAATTTTCATGTGCCTAAACCCTCTTGCATATTACGTGTGCATGGTTTGATTACTCAAATGTAATTACTATTTTTCATCAAAAGCAGAAAATATTCACATGTTTCAGCAACGCAAGAATCAATTTTCATGTGGAATGGATTCCAGGAGTACGTAATTTTATTATCGCATATCCAATGCAACCATCAAGCAAGGAATAGAATAAAAAGAACCTAAAGGTTTCCATGTTAGGTAATGGTAGAAACTAGCCAAGTCTCGTTACAACCCAGATCATTATGAGATCTAAACTACTAAATATTTAGTTAGAAATGAAATATTTTGAGATGGGTATGAGAAAAAATTAAATTTTGAAGTCGAAAAACCAAAAACACCTCGGGAGAGAGCCTCTTGCAGTGTCCACACCAAGGAGCATAGAAATCGACAAGGATAAAATCGAAAGCTGAGATAGCTGAGTCGAAATTTGACTCGTTCAATTCCAACACGGACCCATCTGCTTTGAACTGCTGACAAGAGACGAAAGGGTTGATCAATTGGAAAGAGAAGACCAAAGCAAGCAGAAAAACGGAGAGAAACGAAATATTCATTCTCGATCAGATCGATTCACCAATAGAAACCAGTATAACTAAAGCAGCAAGCTGTGCTTCGTTTTAGTTCGTACGAGAAAACTCATCATCTAATTTAATTTTGAGTAAATCTATTCCACCACCCGTAAGTTCTAGAAAATGAAAACTTACCCCTACCGTCACGACAATTGACTAATTCTATCCCCCTATCGTTACGACGCTATCACATTTCGTTTGACTGTTATAACTTCTTAATCACAATTTTGACCTGACTGTGAATTCAGATGACCCAAGTCCTTTGGTGGAGTTCGTTTGTGCTGAAAAAATCGTTAAACTCGCCGAAGTAAAAAAGTAGGGAGGTATTCAATTACACTTTTCAAACATCTAAAATTCTTGATTTTCATAGGAGGCATTCAATAATACTTTTTAGACGTCTAAAATATTTGATTTCCATACATAATACGCATTTTGGGTTTAAGTATATCTGATTAGAAGATCTGAACCACTAATTTAAATCTAAAATGGTAAGAACTCACCCAGAAGCTTAAGGCATTAAAACACTGATTTATGTTTTAAATGCCCCTAAATATTCCAAAAATGACCAATGTTACCCCTTAATATATCCATTTTCGAACCCTAACGTTGACGCCCCTCTCAAACAAAAAATGGCTCTTCTTGTTTTGGTTGATTGGTTTCTATCGATGCTCAGAATAGGCCAAGGACAATACTATCAATTCGCTCCTAAGTTGAGGGGTTGCTAAGTGGTCTAAGGTCTGAGGTGGCCGAGGACTACTAGGCTGGTCCTGCAAGGAGTGAAGGGAGGAGGACGTTAGAGGCCCCGAATCGGTACTTGAGGTGGATGCTTTGACGCTCAAGTTAGTACTAGAAGGTGGTATGGGGTGGACGAGATCTGAGGTGTGAGCATTCAGACAAGGTGACAATGAAGAATAGGAGATCTTGAGTGCTTGTTCTTGAGTTTAGGTTCCAATCCTTTATCTTGAGGGGGATTACCTCCTATTTATACTTGAGGCTGCTTGGAGGTAGATAGGCTTCAACAGTCCGAATGCAGTCCGTACGTGGAGAGGGCAGCCATCCAAGGCTGCCAAGTGACTCCACACCATTGGTCCCGGAAAGCCCGCAAAGCACTGCTCTGCGTGTGCGCTGATTGGAAACGCCCTGTGCGCYGCCGCCCAATGCGTGTCAACCTCCTATTGGACTAGACCACGAGCGCCTACATCAGTTTCTTATGCCAATAAAACTCCAATGCTGTACAGGTATTCATCCTACACCATTCATCCTTTGTTTCGTCTACTTCCTTGCACCATTCATCCTATGTTATTATTCTTCTTTGTCTTTGAAAAGAGAAAAGAGAAAAGAGAAGATAAAGCCTGCACCAACTTATTCTTCATGGACTTGGACGATCACAGCTTCATGATGACAATGGAACTCAACAATGCCAAGCCACTCAATATGTTGGCCAATGATCAAGAGTATTGTCAACATCATCAACAAAAGTGTGAATGTCGAATGCTTCAACTCTTTTGAGGATGATTTGGATAACACCAACATCAATTGAACAAAAGAATCATCTCTTCTAAAGAATCTGGCACTGTTAGGTTATATACATATGTATATAATGTCACCGCTCTTTGGTCAAAGAGAATAGTAATCTATGCCGTAGATGTTTTTATACATCCATTGAACAAGTGAAGCAATTCCTAAGCAAATAATGTTCTTTCCCTAGTTTTGAATGTAGTATGTTGGACAGTTGCTTATTTTCCTTGTGATTGTAGGTTTTTGAAACAATTGATCCCAAGATTCTTCTTAAAATTTTGTGGTGTTGTATTAAGTTGATTATTCCAAAAAGCTCTGCCTTTCATTTGTTAAGTCCACTTTTGTGCTTTGATTGCATTTTACTTGTTTGTTCTATTGTTTAGATGAATACAAGGGTTAATTTGAATTCAAATATAGCAAAAATGTTTTGTTTTTATGAGTAAAATAGTAAAATTCAATCATTTTAAGATGTTGTTGAAGAATTGTTCCAACACAAACAATATTATCTTTTTCGATCTCTAAAAAGCAAAACAGCATCCATGCTGATTTTCTGACTTCATACCTAAATAATAGCTTTCTCACTTTTTTGATTTCAGGGTTATCAAACACCACTTAGATTGTTCTGCATGTTTTGTTATTATCTTTTTTTCAATGCCTTGAAAATCAAACCCCCTATCTTCATCCATTAATCGAATGATTAAATTCATCATATTACCCCTTTGCTTATTTCCCAAAATGACAGAATATACTAACACAACAACCCATAATTGTATATAGAAATTACAATAAAATTCCACCATTTAACCACTTATCTATACCACTTATAAAAGAGTGAATGTCCCTTCATTTTGGAATTTTCATGGGATGTTTTCTATCCCTTTTGTCTAAACATACAATGGGCATAAAGAGGGCATATATGTCCTTTATTCTCATTTTAGAAACTGCATGCCCACTTATAACTGTCTAGAAACTGTCCAGAAACTACCCACTTATAATTGTTCAAAAACAGTCCATGAATTATAAATAGTTTTGTCTTAGAGATATTGCCACATGCAAATGCAAGTAAATATTTACTAGTGTTATAAAAGGAATTTATGAAATCTGCCATTGTCAATTTCTCTCTCCTTTTACCTCTCTGACCGTATGATTGGTACCTCCATCAAATGCCATTGATGTCAAATCATTTTGGTCTTACCATTTAAACCCAAATTTGAATATTTAATCAATAAATTAGGTTGTTTGAGCCATATATTACGAGTATCAAATACTAATTAATGGTGTTAATGATTTTCCCTATCACTTCTCAAAATAAAATTTTAATTAAAAAATGTGTATATTTATTTTTGAATAGTGACGCATGTGGGCTATACTATGGATATAGAAGGAAACACACCAAAAAAAAAGCACAAAGAAAACCAAGCCTACAATACAACCTAAGGATCAAACTGCATATCTAACAAACCCAACACACAACTAAATAAACCAAACACAATAAAACAATAGAAAACAAGGAAGACTAAAAGGTCCCGCTTAAGAAGCCAGTCTAGAGCCTAAAACCAACATATAACAAAGCTCAATATGCTCTTTCTTGCAAACTCATGCACAACTCGATTTCCATCCCTACCAATATAGCTAAAAGAAATATCGCCATGCAAAATAGTATAGATTGAAGGGATGAGAGATCCATCCTATGGACGTCCAAAGATTGCGGAATAAGGGGCGAATTTCAAAAAAATTTATCTCTCCCTTCAACTGGGAATCGTATTCCCTATTTAGAAAATCATATTTTCAAGGATCAATCTTGAACCATAAACTGAAC